CTGCCTTAGTTATATTGATGACGAAAACATTAATGACGACCTTGAAGAAAAAATCTAACATTCCATACCAATTGAAAATTCGTACAATAAGGTTAATTTGTTTCTATGAATTAATGCGTGTTATAGTACTTGGGAAGAAAAAACAATATTTTTATCTGAAAATTTAAAAAGTTTTGGGTAAATAATCAGGTTATAATACGCAAATATATTAAGTTCAGGAAAAAGCATATTACATTTCATGTATTACCTTAATAGGAAAATAATAGCATTTCATACCAAAAAGATTCCTTACATTAAAGAAACTTCTGTAGTTGCTACGCCGGGCTATGTAGCTAAATTCTAATTTATATTTTGCTGAAATAATTTTGATTAGCAGATAAATAAAACAGAAAATGCAATGCTGTTTTCGAAGACATTCGCAGATTTGTATTACTTACTGCACAACATTCGTATCATAAGTGTTTTGATTATAATTTACGAATAACTTGAGACAAATTTGAAATAAAAGAGTTCCTGCTATTGACTCAAATATTGTCCATTTTTCAGCAAGACTACTAAGAAAGTGAAGAATTAATTTCGTGTTATTCCATTTCTTTATTTCATTTTACTTTTATTGGGAAGAAAAATTCATCTTTTTTTCTGGTTAAATTTTCTTGGGGGGAAAAAAAAGAGGATCTTTTTGTTTCTATTGTCAGAACATCTGCTTATTATGCCTTCAGCCAGGGTTCGTTTCAAATTAAATAAATCAATTTAAAAAAGGTTTATTGAATATTAAATCATATTTTAGAAAATTATTTTGCATTTTAAAAAATAAAGTAACTACTGTAATTATATAAATATTTATATTATACATTATACATAGAATTATTAATAAATACTACTTTTTTTAAAAAAAAATGTTATAATTAATATTAAATGATATTATATACAAAAATAAGTTACAAAATTTTTTATAATATTATATACAATATATTATAAATAAAGTGTTATATATAATATTGCAATAATATATTAAATATATTTTTTAATTATGTATAGAAAAAATATTATTTAATTAATATAATAAAAATAACACATATCTTATATTATATACTAATTTAATTATTTTATAATTTTTTAAAATATTTAATAAATCTATCAATAAACAAGATTTTCTCCTTTAGTGCTACTTCTTAAGCAAATTGTATGTCGCAATTAATTGCTAAATGAACATTTTTAATCAATTTTAATATTTTAAAACCTAAGAAGGAAATTATTGTTAAAATAATGAATATGTTAGTTTTGTATAATATATACTTTTTTTTCGTCAGATAAGTGTTTGAATAATTTACTAAACTCACAATAGAATCAAAAAATATAAAATTAAAATAAAATATCAAAATGTTTTTATCAGATAGTTTTTTGTTTCTTTTTTGAATTTTTTTTTCAGTAAATGTGTAAATATATATCTAGGTTTCCCCCAAACTGTTTTTTTATAACTTATATATATATATTTATGTTCAATCAAACAATCAAAATTTCAGAAAAAAGCAATCGTTTCAATATAGCTATTTGTAATTTTTTTTTATTTATTACTTAAAGAAAATGGATTTTAATTAATATATATATGTTTTTTTTAAAGGATTTTTTCTCTTATTTCATTATTAAATTAATTATTTGTTAATTAAAAAGTACATCGTCTATTATTTTGGATAAACATACATTTTAGAGACATTTTTAAGCTAACTATATATAACAATTGATTGATTAATGAGAATCTGGAATCTATTTTATTACTTTAGATTCCTAGAAACTAACTATTATTAAAAAAATGATGTAAGTTTTTTGTTTTACTCTTAGCATCAGAATCGTTTTTTTTATAGCTTCACATTAACAATTTTTTAACTAATGCAATATTGTTTTTTATAAGTCATACATCGAAATTTGAAGCTATATCTTATCTGTGAGAGGAAGGGGGGAAGAGGGAACAATAATTTTACACTAAAAAAACCAGTGTTATGCCGGGCTATAGAGAGGGAAAAGAAAACTGTCTTAAATCGAAAATAAGAGGAACCAATTTCGAAAAAGATAAATTTAATGACATGATTATAAAAATCACTCACATTGCGCGTACAAACACACACACAGAAATACTGGCGTTATGAGAGAATGAGAAAGCTTTTGCAACACCATGCCAAGCAGCTAGTTTTATTATAAAAACCGTTAGCTGGAGTCGCGGGGTATCGATCCCTGTCCCCTTAGCATGCTAAGTGAGCCCTCTACCATCTGGGCTACGCCCCCAGACCCTACCTTGTTTAACGTAAACAAGCATTACTTAACACTCAAATTAGATTGTTCAGTAAATATAACGATTACGAGTTCTGCGTAAGAAACTAGAATTGAGGGAATAAAATAGATGAGACAGAATGTTCAGAAGGTTTTGGAAATACTTGGATGAATTTGGCTTGATTCTTAGTATTCATCAGGATAACACAAATAAAAGACACTTTAATACTAAAAGGAATAGAAATTGGAGAGAAGCATAATGGCAATATTAATTAAACTGATTTAAGACAAAAATCAATTGAATATATATTTTAGAGAAAAAAACGTCAGTTGAAGGCGCGGGATATCGATCTCTGTACCTATCGCATGCTAAGCGAGTGCTCTACTATCTGGGCTACGCCCCCAGACACCACCTCGTTTATTGTAAACAAGCACGACTTAAATCTCTCATAAGATTGTATTAGAAGTTCTGCGGAAGAAACTAGAGATTTGGGGGAAGTGAGTGAGTGTGGTGTTTTATGGCAGAGCCAATTTTGGCCATACTGCTCCACACGTTTGTTAAATATTCTTTAAAATACACACAATACATTAAAATATAAGGACATATATGTTCATATGTGTATGTCTGCATGCACATATATAAAAATTCAAGTTGAAAATGAAATGAACACATACTTTAGGGCAAATAACGTTAGTTGGAGGCACCTGGAGTCAATCCATGTATCCCTAGCATACTAAGCGAGCGCTTTATCATCTAAGCTACGCCCCCAAACAGTACCTTGTTTATTATAAACAAGCACGACTTAACTCTCTCACAATATTGTACAGTAAATAGGACGATTACAAGTTCTACGGAAGAAACTAGAATTGGGGGAATAAAGGAGATACCGAACGTTCAAAAGCTTTTGGAAATAATTTGGTGACTTGATTCTTAGTATTCATCAGACATTTTAGACTTAGTAGACATTTTATTACTGAAAGAAATACATAGTGAAAGAATAATCACATTGTTAATCAAACTGATTTTAGATAGAAGTAGCTTGAATATATTATAGTGTAAAAAACGTTAGTTTGAGGCGCGGGTTATCGATCCTGGTATGTTTCAGACGCCAAGCGAGTGATATGTGAGTTACGCACCCGCTCAACACATTACTTGGCTTTAAATTTTGAACAACATCGCACAATATTTATTTCCCTTGAGTTTGTTCCACGAGAGATAAGATTGGAGTCTCTAGATGCCAAAGAATGTCTCAAGGCAAAACGAAAATTGCTTGACTGATCTAACTATTCTTTTTAAAGACAAAGAGAGAAGGCAGTTTTTCACAAAGAAATAGGATCCTTATGTGATTGTTTTTTAAGATCGCATTCTAAAGCTTATCGAGAACTATTTGGGGGAATTATCTCACAATTTTGATCTAAGTTACCCACTAAACACCTGAGTTGGTATTGCACTCACCAAGACTTCACATCACACCAACGTTAGGACATTGCGTCTCGGCAGATTTAATGAGTTTAAATCCCTGTACTCGGTAGGTGTCTAGTTGCATTAGATTTTCAACCTGCGTCCCTACAAAGCCGGGAACGAATTCGTTCGTGACCTTGACCCCTCGACTACCACGGCCAAGTTTAATAAAACTTGAGGGTTCTTTGATAAAATTTTAATGCAATTACTATTACCGTAAAATCTGGCGTATAACGCGCACCGCCGCATCACGTATACCTATACTTTGAAGCCGTATTTTTCAAAATTTTTAGGTATGTTCGCCGTATAACATGCACCTCTTTTTTATGAAGGAACCTGAAATGCACGTACACAGTGCTCTTATGTTTTGAAGTCATTTATTCGAGGTATTATTCCAAGCTTTAGGAAAAAATTTTTTTATACTTTTAGAATTACAACCCTTTAAGTTCATAAGGAATATGATTTTGTTTAAAAAAATAAACAGCACACGCACACACACAACATCGATGCATGTAGAAGTCTAGTTTTTCCCAATGCTTGTTTTTTTTTTTTTACTTTCAAAGCTGTTTGTATGCCTGGAGTATAGCGCGCACCCGTAAATTTCGATCTTATTTTTTCTGTTAAAAGTGCGCAGTATGTGCCAGATTTTACGGTACATAAACATTAATAAGTATATCTACCATGTAAACAGTGCTTTTGAAGAATATTATTTAAGCAAATGCAAAACTTTCATGAATTGATATGTATCTTATAAGTAGACTAATAAAATTCTTAAATGTTAATGTTTTGTTTGTATTTTGTAGCATCATTGTATTAATTACCGCCCTCCCTAAATCTAATAGTTGTAAAAGCTAGAACTAATCATATACACAAACACAGAGGTTTTAATTTAGATGTTTTTCTTGATTGATTATCAGTGTCGTACTTCCAAGCTATTCTAAGTGACAACGGCGATATTTGTGAGTTCTTATATCTTCTTCTACACTACATACAGGCAAAGGATACGAAATTCAATGGCCCAATTTTATTCCTTTTTTTAAATAATTAATTGAACTGTTAAGACACACTCGATAATGTTAAACAAATGAAATTCACATGAAAATACAACGTGTTGTGGGACGGATCAATTCGCTTATCTTTCTCTAATCCTCTTGGGAAGTCTTTGGGCTATCAATTCGCGTTTATTCCCAACCAACCCTTTTGAAGAAGAAACCGCGATATTGAAATTAATCTACTATATATAGTCAAGGTTGTCTAGCTAGCCAAGAGGAGAAGGAGTGAAAACGTAATAAGATAGAATTCATTGCTATTGTTCAGGTATTATAACTTTCCATAGTGTATTTCAAATATTTAATAGAAGAAGATTTAAAGTGATGGTTGATCACTATAGTCGAATTAGTATTAGATTAAGTGGGATAATATAAAGTGAGAACCGATATTGATAGTCTTCTAATAATTCGTGTATCTTGCTATTTATCCACATTTTGTTCATATTGAGAATATTTCTTCAGGTTGAAAAAATTATTGAACCAGAGTTGCTATTTTTGTGAGATCAATAAATAGATTGTTGTTAATTATGGTTAGTGTTTTATCTCTTCCTCCCACACATCTAGGTGTTCTAGAGAGAGGGATAATTCCCTCAAAATTGTTTTTGTGAAGTCGTAATTTAAAACCATATAGTTGGCAAAATGTTACATACAAAGGTTAAATATCATGTAAATCAGCGTTTCCCAAACTTTTTTGGCTCATTTACTACTTAGTTGTAATTTATGCTAAATTGCACCACTTTGTAAAAATGATTCTATTTCATGAAATTTGTTTTTGCGAATACGTTTATTTATTTGCATTGAACATTTCCTAGGGTGACTATGTATTCATTTCACATAATGAGACAAATTACTTTGAATCAGGTCTCAGCGTATCTAGTATTTTGTCATATTTCTTTTACTAATAAATGGTTTTAATAAAAATACAAAATTATGAAAAAAAAACAATTAATTTACTTTCTTATCATAATCAAATGTTTTTATAAAATACATTTAATGAGATCCTCGTGCTTGTTTCAAAAAGTACAATTTTTGAAATTCGTTTCAAAAGATTCGAGGTATACCCTTAAATCTATAACTGCATTCAATCTGTTTCGATACTTATTTTTTTGAAAGAAATATATGAAAAAAAGCTCTTTTTACTAATTATGCACTAGCAAGTAGTAATAATAATTTAAGAGCCTATTCAGAAAGTTGTTCATATTCTTTATAAATGCTTAACCAAAAATGAAATGGATTGTGTCGTTTCAATTCTACTTGTAAAGTTTTTCACATGATAATTCTATTAAATTTTCTTTATCTTTAAAAACGTTTCTATGATACTTTTTTTTATGTCAGCCATTATTGATTATTTTTCGCAGCAACTCGCGTAGCACAGATTGGAAAACGCTGATATTAATAATCAGACTTTTCATAAATTGACTACTATAAGAATAGTTTTTCTTCTTTTTTCCTCATCCTTAACTTAATACTTTTTAACGAAACATCAGATAATGAAAGGGAAAAAAAGAGAGAGAGAGAGAGAAAAAAAACTTCGCACGTGTTACAAAGTTACATTAGGAGGGGGATATCGTGATAAAAAAATAGGTGATAATTTTAAAAAGAGATCATTATGCCCTTAAAGTGGCCCTTAGTGAATCCCACGTGCGCAAAGTGTTTTTTCTGTCTCCCAGTATAAAAAGAGACTAAGAAAGTTCTAGGGTTGCCAAAGCAAACATATGTCCATCAAATTTGTCATCTTAAAGGATATATTCCCACTTTTCCTCCTCTTCTTTTTGTTATCTTTAGTAAATTTGCACGAAATGTGTCCTCTTAGTAGAGAATGCTTAAGGATTATAAGAGTTGATCTTCTTTTCTGAGACAAAAATAATATAAGAATTTTAGACGCAAGAAAAATGTCAGCGGTTATTTATTTTTCTAAAGAAGATTAGATATGAGATCCTTTTTAGACTTTTGCCTTCCTAACTATTTTTTCAAAGAAACCATTTCTCCTCCCGTATTATTTATGTAGAAGAGTAATTTCTTTTTAAATGTAGAATTTTTTTTCCTTCTAAATACAGTGCCGATTTATCCACTGGGCACTTGGGGTGGGCGCCCAGAGAAGCAGAACTTAACCAGATTTTAGGTTATAAATTTGGATCCGCTAGAACACAACGATACTCAACCTGCGGCTCACCGAGACTTTTTAAGTGGCTCGGTCATGGCCCATTGCTCTGAGAAATTTACTTATTTAAGAAAATAGTATTAAAAGTATTAAAAATTTGGTAGGAAATTTTTTCTCAAAAAATCAAATACATCAATTTTGCTGTCGGTGTCTTACAGGTACGAATTGATATTATTTTACTTTTTGGATCGGTTAGTGACAATTTTACGGGTGGAACTAATTTTCAACTATCTTTCATATCTTGCAAGCCGAAAATATTCTAACAAAATATATCGTTTCAAGATGATTGGGAGGTTGACTATTTTGTAGTGAAAAACAAACATGGATCAGTAATTGTTTGATTTGTCACAAAAATGTTGTATTTAAAAAATAGAACTAAATAGGGATCATTCAATGACACTTCTCCTCGAATATCTCTTGCAAGAGGTGATAAATAGGCTTTCTTGAATAATTTTTGCAACAGCAACAAAATGTTTTGTCAGTGGTAATATCACAGAGGTAACAAAGACACCCTATGAAGTTTGTTATATTATTGGTAATCATATGAAACATCGTTTACTGATACAGAAATTGTAAAGGAGTGTTTCTTAAATGCTTGTAATTTAGCGTTAGTGACAAAAATAAAAAAAAATATAAAAAATGATAACTAAAAAAGCAAAACAAGAGTTATAATATTTTGATCAATTTTCCACATTTTAAATTTCAAATGTTATTTTGGTCTTAAGGCATTTCTCTCCCCTCTCCCCCATTCATCCTCATGCTGTGGCCCACGTGAAATAACTAGCATATGTATGCACCCGCTTGAAATAGCTGACATATGTGTATGCGGCCCAGCAGAAAAAAAAAGGTTTAGTACCCCTGCGCTAGAACCAAGGGGGCCTGTAGATTTTCTGCGCCAAGGCCCGAAATGAACTTAAACCGGGACTACTGTCTAAATATGTAAAATCTGCTTACGATATAAAAAAAAATGTGATTTGGGATATTCAACTCTGTTAAAAACCCAGCTTACAATGTTCTTCTCAAATTATTTTTTTAAATCATATAACGGCTGTTTTCAATACATCTGTTCAATGTACTGGAATGTTGCAGTTATACGA